AATTTCTTACTTGCCTGCCTCTCCTAGGATTTTCGAACATCCATTTTCTAACGGATTTTTATCTTAAAAAGGTCACCTAGAATTTTCGGGAGCCTTTTTTCTGGCTGAAAGTTTCGAAAAGGTAAATTTTGATCCCTATAATTTTCGGATCACCATACTTTCAGCTAGGAAATCCGAACAGATGACAATGTTTTATGGGATAAAAATAAGCCTTTATCTACCGTTTAAATACTAAAAGTACGTTCAACAATGCCATGTTTATGTGGTTTTGAACTATATTCTCGTTGGGTGCCCCTGGCTTATCATGACTTAGGTCTAGGCCAACGACGAAATGTTCATGAGACGAACCGAACTTATAGTAAGTTACATTCATGAACAATTGGACGTCTGCCTCATTTACGCCTTGGCCAAACGGCCAACTTTTCATGAGAAGAACCAAACTTAATCAGTTCAGTTCATGAAAAGTTCGACTTCTGGCTCAGTTAAGTTCATCTGAATGAGTTTGGATCGTCCAACACCTTCTATCCGTCTGCTTCAGACGTAAAGAACGTCTGAAGATCGTCTCCGGCACAAAAGTCGATCTTCACATGCGACGAACCTAATAACTTAAAATTTGTATCTATCATAATGTATAATTAGCCTCGTTCGAGAGAATATTTATTCCTGATCTAATTCAGTTGATTGGTTCGATGCGTTCTGAGTTCCACTTCTGACCCAACAGCGATCTCAACTTACTTTAGGTCGACCCAAATTAGATTTTGGTTCGTCTAATGAAAAGTTCGACGTTTGGCCTAGGCCTTAGAGCGAAGATTCAGTCAAAACCAGCCGTTTCCGGTTCGTGATTTACAAGCTTTCTCTTGTTCTACCAACTTCCCGCGTGGGTTATTAGGCTGGTAAACCCATAGAAAGTGTATTGTGTTGCTTAAATAGCGATGATAATATGAAGAAATGCTCTAATTTCTGATTATTTAATTGGAGGAATGTGCGAATCGAATACATGTTTACTGTGATTCTCGTGATTTTAGAGCGTTCTGGTGAGAAGTCCGAAACTATTTTTTATATACCTGGGTTTGGAACGGCATTTTTTCTGGTAAGAATTCGTAGTTTCAAAACATTTGACATTTTACCGGGTTGAGAAACCGTTTCTTAAAAAGGTGTGCCAGATTAAGAATTCTAAGCAAGTAGATTTTGTGGATTTCGGTGGTTCGCCGTGACCTTAGAAATTAATCCACATGGGTATAATTACACTCAAATACCAAGTTAACACTTTTAATTAATGACTCATTCTAAGTTCCAAACAGGGTTTAAACTGATGACTACAAGGTTTGCACGTAAGGTATTAATAATGCACTGCTTTTTGTGTAAAACGGTACACTAGCCCTGAGGAAGGCTAATTTTGTTAGCCGAAATATTGGCCTAAAATAAATCAGCCGTTTGCCGTAGTGCCAGCCCTGCATTCACTTTTGTTTTATTTTACACTTTAAGTGACGTCTGGCTACAGCATCTCATTAATTAGAGATCCGGCAAGAGGAACCAGTCAGTTATATTTACGTGTTGCGTGGACCTGTGCATTCAAACAGTTCTTCCTTTTTGATAAAATTACCTTGCAGGGTTCTATCTAGGGTATTTGAGGGGTAGAAGCTTCCCCTCAAGAGATGTTGTTATCATTACAGTATATAAGTAACCATATCGGAAAAATCATCCAGACAAACGATAAGTCCTGGATAGAACCCTGCCTTGGGTTAGTAAAATCTATCCATCCATCCACCCAGCCTCCCAGCCATGCATCCTGCCACTCATCCATCCATCTTCATACCCTCAACCACTTAACCCATGGAAACGCTACGGGTGACTAGCTAATCATTTTATTTTCGAGCCTCTATTGTGGAAATTGGCTCGCCACAACATTACTTGATGGAATTCTTTCTTATAATAATTGTGCAATTTAATTTACGTATAAAAGGAATTTAATGTAAAATAAAATTTCATTTTCGGGATGGAGGGATTTTCATAAAAACAATACAGAAATGTCATTCTCATTGGTTGGCTTTTCATTTGATTACAGGTTATTTTAATCCCGTGAAGGAAAGGATTTACGACATGTGTTGATCAGCTGGTGGCGAGGGTTCCTTCAAAACAAGGCAAAGTAAGACTGAAAAACACGTTCCTTCTCTAAACACTCACAGGGGAAGCAAGCAATCAAAGGGGACGGATAATGTAAGAGGACATCAAGTATTCGCAACAACAGCATGAAACCTTATCAGTGCAAGCGTTGTGATAAGTGTTTTAGCGAATGGTTAGCTTGCAAGCAACACGAACTTACACACACGAAAGTGAAACCTGAAAAGTGCAAGTACTGTGACAAGTGTTTTAAACAGTGGTCAGCTTGTAAGCAACACGAACTTACACACAAACGCGGAACACCTAGGCAATGCAAGTATTGTGAAGAGTGTTTTAGCGAATGGTCAGCTTGCAAGCAACACGAACTTACACACACGGGGGTCAATGTTCATCAGTGCAAGTATTGTGAAAAGTGTTTTGGCGAATGGTCAGCTTGCAAGCAACACGAACTTACACACACGAGAGTGAAACCTAAAAAGTGCAAGTACTGTGACAAGTGTTTTAAACAGCGGTCAGCTTGTAAGCAACACGAACTTACACACAAACACGGAACTCCTAGGCAATGCAAGTACTGTGAAAAGTGTTTTAGCGAATGGTCAGCTTGCAAGCAACACGAACTTACACACACGGGGGTGAAATGTTTTGGCCAGTTTTCAGCTTATGAGCAACACGAACTTACACACACAGAGGTGACAGTTCATCAATGCAGGTATTGTGACAAATGTTTTGGCCAGTTGTCAGCTTGCAAGCAACACGAACTTACACACACAGAGTTGAACGTTTATCAGTGCAAGTATTGTGACAAGTGTTTTGTCACGAGGTCAGTTTGCAAGCAACACGAACGTACACACACAGAGGTGAAAGTTCATCAGTGCAAGTACTGCGATAAGTGCTTTAAAAAGAGATCAGATTGTCAGCAGCATGAACTTACACATACAGGAGGAAAACCTTATCAGTGCAAGCATTGTGACAAGTGGTTTGGCCAGTTGTCAGCTTGCAAGCAACACCAGCTTACACACACGCGGACATTGAAACCACAACAGTGCAAGTATTGTAACAAGTTTTTTAGCCACTGGTCAGCTTGCAAGCAACACGAACTTACCCACAGAGGAGTGAAGCGTTATCGGCGCAAGTATTTGATAAGTGCTTTAATCCGTCGTTAAGTTTCAAGTAGCAAGAACTGAGACAGACCGCAATGAAACGCTTCTTACAGGAAGTATTGTGATAAAGGCTTAAAAACTGTGCAATAGCAAGTATATATGAGACATGAACTGTTTTAGCTGACTGTTGCTATGCAAAGAACATAAACCTATTCACAAGGTGGTAACACCCTACCAGTACAAATAATGTAACCAGTGCTATGGCGACTCAAGGAATTGCAAAAAACATTAACTTGCGCACTATGGAGTGAAAACGTAGCAGAGCACGTATTGAGATAGGTGCTTTGGCTCGTTAACTTATTTAAGTTTTCTCATACGTGAGTTAAACCTTACCAGTGTGAGTTATAAAAAGTAGTTGGAATATAACCGTCTGGGTGAGTGTAGTCCTGGAAAGGACTGTTGTTAACAGCTACTGACGTTTCGTCAACCTGTGGGGTAAGTGGGTGGATCCTTTATTTAAAACTCCGTGAAATCTTCAGTAATAATAGAGTAAAAATCTAATTTCAATTAATTAGACTAAAAGCTATCGACATACTGTTTTACAAGACTGCCGAGTGAGAGTCCGACGACTCAGATAGATGATTGATTTGCCTTAAATTTCCTGACTGATTTAATCTCTCTCACATTTCGGGTAAAGAGTTTCACAACATAGCACTGCTGCAACTGAAACTTCGTTTCAAGTAGTTAGTACGCGGCCTGGGCAACGTCAATTTATGAAAGGAATTGCGCAAATCATAGTTTGTGCTTCGTTCCCGAAATAGGTTCTGCAAGTACACTGGAGCTTGTTCATTTAGAGATTTACACATCGTTATCGCTCTATGCTTTTTTCTCCTTATAACTAATTTGTCCCATTTGAGTATATCAAGAAGCAGGCTCGAGCTAGTCCCTTAGTTGGCCTTTAAAATTACTCTAGCTGCACGGTTCTGTAACTTTTGTAATTTGTAGCTCAGTTGATCACTTAAGCAGTCCCAAACGAGGCTACAGTAATCAAAGTGAGGAATTAAGGAGTTAAAGACTAGTACCGCGGTAGATTGGGAGATAAGGGGCCTGATGCGTCTAAGGGCACCTATATCCGAAGTTACCTTCTTACGCAATTCGTTAACATGATTAGGTCAGGAACGCCGATTGTCGATAATGAGACCTAATGATTTTGCGTGATCAACTTTGCTGGTAACTTGGTCTTCTAGTTTGATGTTTATTTCGTTGTGGCTTTCCTTAATAAGTGTCTGGCGAGAGCCAATAACCATAAACTTGGTTTTCGCAACATTAAGATTAAGCTTATCGGCTTTTAGCTAACAGTGAACGTTCAGTAGTTCTGAGTTAGTCTCTTGTTCAAGGTCCGCTAGAGAGGAACCAGAAATGGTAATGTTCTGCGAAAATTTTTGCTCATGCTGTAATAGGCAGTTTGGAAGATCGTTTATATAGATTAAGAAAAACAAAGGACCAAGAATACTGCCCTGTGGGACTCCGCGAATGCGAATGTGAATGTCTCCTGTCTGCGTTTGTCTCTGTCGAAGACTGGTTTAGTTCGTCACCAGTCTTCTTCTTTTTTCCCACTAAAACAAAATCTTGAGCATCCTGGTACTCCGTGTCGACGCGGATGTTGTCAGGTTGCATGACAAATGAGTTATGATACAAATCTTTGGAGACTATTTGAAGCGCTAGTTTCAATGAATCTCTTTCTTCTCGAATAGCTTTTAATTCTTTCTGTAGCTCGGTTTAGTGAACTCTAGCGGCATGTAACTCTTGTTGTAAGGTGTGGTTCTCGTTCTTGACAGCATCAGGTTCTTGCAAAGTCTTCGAGTTATTTGCATTTTGCGTCGATTGCACACAGCTCCAAAGTTTGGTTACCTCAGTCCTTAGGTCATTAACTAGACTCAGAATATTTACATTAAGAGAATGAGAGGACATAGGTTTAATAAAGTGGTCCGTTTCGTTGCTGGATGTCTCTGAGAGTACAGGAGTGTCCAGTTGTGCTTTGTCGTCGTTCACAATAACATGGAGGTCGCTGACAACATCTCCGCTTTCATCGTTTAGATCACAATTGGTTTGACCAACGTCCATAGCCGCTCGAAGTTTATCCTTTGCTTTATGTTGATCGTTATTTCCTTGAAGTTGTAACGTCCCAGTCTTGTAATAATTCAATGTCAAAGATTTTGCTTTTATCGATTTCCTTTGCTCGTTTTGAGTTATCGAGCACGTGGTGGAATCCATTTCTAAATGTTCCAAGCAAAAGCTTTTCAACTCATCGAAGGATCCAAGACATGTAAATGCTGACTTCTTCAAGTTGTAGCTTAGTTTCTTTATCAGGGAGTTTGTAGGGTACACTGCGTTCTCTTGGAGAGTAGAGGTTTCAAGAGAGAGCGAAGAGTCCCGTCCGTTCGCCATGTTGCCCATGTACTGAGCTCTGCGGTAGACATCTTCAGAGTCGAAGGACAT